CCAAAACACTAGTAACCTAATTAAAGAAGCCTTTTTTTATGCTCTGGGTTTTGTATGTTAAAGATAAATGTTTCTCTCAAGCAATGTCCTGGTCTAAGCAGACTGCACCAATCATTTGTCAAATGCATCCAGCATTCGAGACCATTGATTGAAGCTCTCAGATTTATTTTCATAATGGCATCAAGAATCAGAAGCTTCTATCTTTTTTCTTTGCAGTTAATACCACATGAAATAATGGAAACAATTCTTACGAGAAAAATGTTTTGTTTCTTCAAAACTAAATTCTCATTCTATAAATAACTACTGCTTGGGTCAAAACTTATTGGAGATTAAAAGAGTTCAAGCAAGAAATTATTGCAGGAAAATTTCTTTGTGTTCCAGTAAGTGGAAGATTAGCCAATTCAATTGTTTGCAGATGTTAAGCCATTAAAAATACATTTGCTTTGTGTGTTTAATCAAGACCTGTTGTTTGCAGGTCAGTTTGTTTATGTAGTGAAGATATTTAAATAGAAAACCCAAATATGATTGAAACTTTAAAGAGGATTAAGGGAAAAGAATGAAAAGAGATCAGAGAGTGAGAGAGAAATACTATAAGAGATCAAGAGAAAGAACAAAAGAGATCGAGAAAGAGGAAATGAAAAAAGATATGGAGTATAATAGAAAGACAAAAAAAAACTGATAAAATATAAACAAAAAAAACTGATAAAATATAAACAAAACTGATAAAATATAAACAAAAAAACTGATAAAATATAAACAAAAAAACTGATAAAATATAAACAAAAAAACTGATAAAATATAAACAAAAAAAATATATATAAAAAAAAAAAAAAAAGAAAATAATTCCCCCCAACTACCCACAAATATTTCTGTCCTAAAATAAATATATATATATACGAGGGTCATTCAATAAATAAGGTGAATTTTTCGGTATAAGGACTTCTAATACAGATAGAAGCTTTTTCACATGGATTTAATTTCTTTTGCAGATTAAAAAAAAAACTTTGAGAGTTTTGGCAATTAACACAGATGGCCGACCAAGAAGCATGCTCCAGGATTGAACAGCGGTCAGTTATCAAGTTTTTGGTTGCTGAAGGGTGCAAACCAGTTGAAATTCATAGGAGAATGCCAACTGTGTATGGTGCCACATGTTTTAGCCAAAAAAAATGTCTACAAGTGGGCTAAATTGTTTAAAGAAGGATGGAGCAGTATTGAGGATGAAGACAGGCCTGGGAGGCTTACAGAAGTGAGGTCTCCTGAGGTGATCGAATCAGTCAATGACCTCATTCAGTCTGACAGAAGAATTACTGTGAACTGCTGAGGCAGGTCAAGAAAGACATAAAGAACAAACACAGGGGTCATCAGTCAGAAAGAGTCATCTTGCATCATGACAATGCAAGGCCTCACACAGCAGCCTAAACGGTGCAGACCATCAACGAGCTGGGCTGGGAACTGCTCCCTCATCCTCCTTACAGCCCAGACCTTGCCCCTTCAGACTTTCACCTGTTAGGTCCCTTGAAAGCATTCACGAGAGGCACGAAGTTTAAAAGTGACGACTAAGTCAAAAGTGTTGTGAGCGACTGGCCGAGACATCAGTCCAAAGATTTTTACACTGAGGGAATATGGAAGCTTGTGCACAGATGGGAAAAGTGTGTGACAGTGCTGGGGGACTATGTTGAAAAAAAAAAAAGAAAAAGTAAGCTTCTATCTGTATTAGAAGTCCTTATACCGAAAAATTCACCTTATTTATTGAATGACCCTCGTGTGTATATATATATATATATATATAAAAAATTCTTTCTTGCATACATCAAGTACAGGATAAATTCTACCCAGAAATCAACCAATTCCAGTTGATGTTACAAAAATATTTCTAAATATTATCTTAAAAAAACTACCATGGCTTCACTCCTTGGGTCAGTTACAGAAGATCCAAGGGATGAAACTATGACAGAAATATTACAGCAACAAATCCAAGCTTTAAAAATTAAATGTAGACGCAGATGCACACAAGATGCTGCTCAGAAGTTTTAGGTATTTGGACATCATGTGTGAATTGAATGCCTGAGGAACTTTTACTGCTATCATTTGGGAAATTGCTATACATATGGCCAAGGGAATTACTTCCAAGCGCATCTCATTTTTTTCCGGGTCAAATTTTCCAGATTTGGGTGTGAGACTCATTTAATTCTGCTAATCATATTTTAAAAGTCACATTATTGGGGCACCTAGTGAGGATCAAACTCACCTCACAAGCAAACAGATCTGCAAAACCTACAATGCCAAGCCAAAATCAAATTCATGTTGAAGCATTTTGCATTCACTTTGGACTTGGGAAAGGCACAAATCCAATTCTTTTCCACCTAACTTTGGTTGGTCAATAAGTCTTGGATAAGGAAAGAATGCAGTTCAAAACCAACCTGAAACGATTTTAATGTAACCATGTTCTTTCAGAAATGCACAATCATGTCTCTCCACAACTTCCTGTCTTTTGTTGCTCTCAGTAATTTTTCACTTTACTATTCCTTTTTGTCCTTACTTTACCATTCATTAATACAAATTCATTAGTTCTCGCTGTTTACCTGTTTCTCTTGCCTTCAATGCCCTGTGAGTGTTAAATTCCTTAAGTCCTGTTTCCTCATGATGTGTCCAAGAAATTTCAACTCTTTCTGATTGTAAGTATAAGTTTTCTTATGGTACTTATTTAAGATCTCCACCTTGCCCTACCCATGGTATTCTGAACATTAGCCAATAGAACCACATCTGTCATTTCAAGTTTTTCTTCATCCATAAGGAAATTACCCAGCATTCACAGCTAGATAAGAGATTAGATATTACATAGCTAGTCAGTACATTTTACGTTGTTCTTAACAATATTTTCTAATCTCTATACAGTATAGGCCAAGTTCGGAGCTACTGTCTGGATTTAATAATTATTGATTAATTTGGGTTTTTTATGGTTTATAAACCTTTTGTAGGTTATTTAAAGCCAGAAAATTCTAAGAATTTTGAATAATGATTTACTGATACAAGCCATACTAATTAAGCCATACTAATTAACCCATAGCTGGGGGAGAGAGGAGGTGGATTCATACCTTTTTCCAAGGGTATTTGTGTGTAAGTGAATATAATGAACCCGACTGGAATTTAGCTCTCTAATTTGCAATTCTGAACCATTATCCATTACACCATCCACACATTCAAGATTACAGCAGCAAGTATTCCTAAGCAGTCACCCATCAAGGTACAGACCAGGCTTGATGTTGCTTAACTTCAATGATCATACAAGAACCAGCATTTCAATGTGATATGCCTTTAATAATTAAGTTCTTTGGTTTAATACATGGCATCCAATTTTTTTTTTTTTTTTAGAGATGAGGTACCTAAAATTTAAAATCCATCAATCAGCCCTAAGATTATCATTAACCAGTAATGCAGATTATATATATATATATATATATATATATATAGTCATCCACAGACACACTGTTTTGCTGTATCACAGCTCATCAGTGTGGCTTGACATCAGATTGCCTCAAGCTGGGATGGAAACCCAACTGATCAGTTGGAGATTTTACCACTGAGCTATCAGTGCCCAGTAGAGAGGAAGGCAAATTTTTGTGTATTGATTCTTTAAATAAACACACCAGTGACTGAGGGGGTTCAATTCATAGAACAGCTTTGCATTACCAGCAGTAGTCAATGTTTACAAATTCGTGCTTTCTCTTTTTATATATATATATATATATATATATATATATATATATATAGAGAGAGAGAGAGAGATAAATATAAAAGTGAACTTTGAAGTCAACACCCAGAGGTGACAGGCTGTTTCATGCTAGATGCAAACGTCTGACGATTATGTTTACCATGAAATGGCCTGTTGCCTCTGAGTGTTGACTTCAAAGTTTATTTTTATATTTATAATTCACTCTATCTCTGATCTTGAGCACTTTATCCCATAAATATAGCACACCTTAAAACTATATTTTTTCATATATAGATAGAGAGAGAGAGAAAAAAATAATAATAAAATTTGGAAAAACATCTGTTTTTATATATAATATTTATAATACATGCATTTTTCCAGAGAATTACTAAAATTGTTTTACTTACATGTGGGTTTTCAGAAAAAAATCAGTTTACTTTAACTGGTTTTGCTTTTAGCTTTTCAAAAAAGTTGGTAAATCTTTATCAGATTCCAATGTGCTGACACTTAAATCCAGAATAACAGAAAAAAAATCATAGGGCGTAACAGGTTTTATCTATCACTTCTGGTAATGAAAATATGATATAATCTATTTTGAGGGATGTACCTCTGGGTCTTATATATATATATATATATATATATATATATAACAGCAGTTTATATATATATATATATATATATCTCAGCAGTTAATATACCACATAACACCCTTGAGCACTTAGCTTTGAAGTGGGTAGAATGGAGATCAACGTATTTTAGTGGTCTCAGCAATTTTCAATCTGCTTGTCTGAATCATCTTCAAGATCCAAGAGCAAGATCTAAAAGGTCAATCAATCTAACAGAGATCTCATCTCACAATCATCACACTTGCTCCACATGTGGTCTCCTTTGTAAATCACTAGCGGGTCTTAAATGCCACTTAAGATTAGCGCATAAACTTTCATAACTGAATCAATAAGATAGCAGATCCTCATACGTCGAAACCGACCGGAGAGTCCATTATTATTATTATATATAGCTTCATTGATTTGTTTCATGTGGCTTATCAACAATTTTCAGGTTATTTAAAACGAGAAAATATTTTTAGATTCTAAGAATCTGGGGGGGGGGAGATAATAATGGTTTAATGATACAAGTTTTTCTAATTAACCTACAGACAAGGTGGATCCATACCTTTCGCAAGGATATTTACATGTAAGTGAATAAAACAAACTCAACCAGAATTGGAACTCAGCTCACTGATTAACAATTCCAAGCCATTATATAATACACCATACAGACATTCAAGCTTACAGCACCTGATATTCCTAAACAGTCACTCATCTTGGTACTGACCAGACTCAATGTTGCTTAACTTCAGTGATCATACGGGAACCAATGTTTTAACATGATCTGGCCATAAGCCTTCAGTATATGCATATATACATGTCTGTTCATTTGTCAATGCAAGTCAAAAAGATATGATATAAAGAGAAATTTGTTGTCTTGCTTAGTAGCAGAGGTAGTTGCATATTTCCATTGACATCATCATCATCAGTAACAGTCAAGAGAAGACAAAAGCCAGAGATATGAAATGCTGATTTTCAAGGCAAATAGATTGCCAAAGCAATCTACCCATTTTCATTTATCCCTTGTGCCATACTTAAACTATACAGAGTAAATATCAATCGTCTAATCATTGAGAGAAAAAAAACAAAACTGACAACGAAGGGAAATTGATTTCATATAATCAATAAAATCAATATAATTTGTACTGTCTTCAAATTCTATATAAAATCATTATCCCAGAAAGCATTAATGAAATTAACAATGAATGGAACATATAACCAATTAGCATTGCTAATATGTTGATATCTGTTGCTTAGCAACAGGTAATATCATTTCACAACAGGTTATATAAACCCAATATTAAAATTTATGGCAACATAATTAACAATTCAAGAAATGAAATATTGAAAATTCCTGAAATCTATTTTTACCAGACTGAAATTCAAATTTATTTACTTTATTATGGCTGTAAAAAAAAAAAAGTGTAAAATGTTTAACCTTCCAGGCACATACAAAAACTAAAGTGCACATTGAAGTGCATACAAGTGCACACTGAAGTAGCAACAAGCAATGCCAGTTTTAGATTTGGTGAATCCTGAAGCTATATTAGCCAGAAGGTCCTTAAAGACCTGAAAACAAATTTTTTGAAGGTTCCCTTTAAAGGCTGACCCACCATACCATCAAAGTTGAAGCTTGTTTAATTTATATCTAAATCTGGCCCTGGGGACAAATAAAGAATTTGCATGTAAGTTGATTTTTCCCCAGGTCTATCATGTCTTTTAGAAAATTCTGTTTCCCAAAGATGTGTTTTGTCACATAGGTACTTGCAACAAAATACCCATCTCCCTGACCCTGGCTAATTTATATGTAATCTAACTAAAAAGAAAGAGTAAAATGTAAATTGTATTTTTCACTCAACCATTTAAGGTTGTTTTGAATATTTGATGAAGCCAGGTTATCAAGTCTGCCTAAGTTTAAGATAGTTCCAGAAAAGAAAGATTCTAAGCTTTCTTGGAAAATCTGAGGATGGTCTAAAGAAGGGAAAATCCTAAGCTTTCTGGAAAATTTGGGGATGGTTTAAGAAAAGGATGATTCCAAGTTCTCTGGAAAATTTGTGGATTGTTCCAGGAAGGGAAGATCCCAAGTTCTCCAAAAAATTTAAGGATGTCCCAGAAAGGGAAGGTCCTAAGCTTTCAGGAAAATTTGAGTATGGTTTGAGAAAGGGAAAATTCTAAACTTTCTGAAAAATATTTGGATTGATCCAGGAACAGAAGATCCTAAGCTGTCCAGAAAATTTGAGGATGGTTTGAAGAAGGGAAGATCCGAAGCTTTCTGGAAATGCATCATCTTTTGTTGTTTTTGAAAACATTTTGGGGAGCTTATTAACCTAAAATGACTAAGTATTATGATAAGCAAGTAGTTGTGTCAAACAGGGGATTATCTTCCTTGGTTCTTCTTTAGACATTTTGAGTTGGTACTCCATGGTGATTTCCAGGGTTGAATTCAAGTAATGACATAAAATGGAAGATCCTAAGCTTTCTGAAAATTTTGAGTATGGTTCAGCTTTGAATTTTATGTCCCCAATTTTAGAGAGAGCAAAAAATTAATAAATGATTTTGGGATGTGACAGTTGCTTACAGAGGTAGAGAAAAAGAAAGAAGGCCCAGCAGTTCATCTTATCCCTACCAAATGTCTTAGAGATTTCACATCGGAGGTTATTCCACATGAAAATGCTACCACAAATATTAGCAAGAAAATAGGCACATCATTTTTGAAATATCAAAACACACATATCATCCATCAGGTTTTGAATATAACAGAGTTTGGGATAAAATTCAAATATTTATCATATTGTTATAGCCTAAAAAAGGTTACTGAATGAGGAATAACCAAAACAGCGGTTGGAAATGAAATGGTAATTTTTATAAGATCAACAAAATACAATACTCGCCAGTGACGTGAAGTGGGCAAACCACTGCCAGAATATTACCCCCACTTACAACAGAGTCCGACATATTTATGAGGATTGAGACATACCCTTTAGTGTTCATAGGTATGGTATATCTTACTTATTATAAAATGCAGATTGTGTGTGTGTGTGTGTCTGTAACGTTTATATATTGGATCGGATTTCCTACATTTTTCAACCGATTTCAACAAAACTTCACAGGACTACATAAAATTACCTTGTGGTGGTTCTAACAGTGCCAAAAATGGGAAAAATACAATTGTTTTTGCACAAAATGAATTTGAAAACACAATTAAGAGACATCATGAGAATGAAAGAGGGATAACTCACATCGGGTTGATTGTGTGTGTGTGTTCCTTTATATATAGGATCGGGTTTCCTACATTTTTCAGCCGATAAAACAAAAATTCACTTTTTTTTTCTTTTTTTTGGCAGGTAGTGTTTCTTATTCTCTTGCACACTTTTTTCTTTATTTTTAATATTCAGAATGCTTTAAAAATTCCATTTACAAGACAATTGTTTATAATAAAATTCTATTCAATCGGTAGACTCATAACGATTGAAAACAATGTTTTTGTTTGAGTTTGGGTTTGAGCAATTCGTAAAAAAAAAAACAAAAAAAAAAAAACCAAAACAAATTAAGACATGCGTGTCCGTCAACCTTAAACAATCTTTGTCAATTTTATTTTTCAGTCTTTATGATGGTGGATACTTGATCTATCTCTTACTGTTATATCCCCGGGCAACGCTGGGCTCTCCTGCTAGTAACACATATAAACTTAGAGTTTTTAATGTTCAACGGTAGTGCTACCATTTTTTTTTTTTAAATAAATGTAAATGTTTCTGACAAAAATGAAAGGTTGCCTAGTACAGATTGCATGACAATGACATACAAGATGAAATTGACAATAAAAAAGATTTTTAGCAACCCTGCTGTACTATCATATATGGCAGGGGTGTCCAAACTTTCTCCAAAGAAGGCTACATTTGATGAGGTGAATATGCATGAGAGCCAACCGTTCTGCTTGGCATTCTTTGAGCCATTAAAATTAAATGTAAATGTAATATCTCATGAAAATTTTATTGCACAGGGCATATTTTCATTTCTTCTCATGGATGACAAATTAATTTAAACAGGTCTTACCAAAATCACTCAACCTGTTATATCTGAAGCCCATATAAGAAGATGAAATAAAATATGTCTGAGAAAAAAGTACTTCCAGGAAGCTATATCTCAGGTTAATCTTAAACATTACATATTATTGGTAATTAAAGTTGTCTGTTAGCTTTTAACATATAAATAGAAACATAACACCAACATTAATCTTAAAAAGTAGAAAACAAAGTGATACAAGTCCAAGTGTCCAAATATATTTATAACTGATTTTTGACCAACACAAAACAAATTTAATTCACTAACATTTTAGAATTTATTCTTCTCAGATGAACAAAACAAATAACCTGCCTTCACTCATGTGAAGGGTGATACTGAGATCTGGACTGCAGTATGCAGGCCAAGTCTGTTTCAAAGGCAGTGGTCTGTTTCAAAGGCAGTGATTTTAAAAATTGGCTGAAAAGAGTCATGGTCAGGGTCACACTGTCAGAGGGTGGCTACGCAATGTTGCCACCATCTTTTTGATAAAACATGAAATTGAATTTCTTAGGCGTGTACTTTACATACTTTGATTGACAATACTGGTGGTTTGTAAGTGATACATTCTATGACAGATGATTGGCGAGGGGTGGGGGGGCATATGAAATTTGACCATGGACCATAACTGGCACTCAGACTGGACTTTGGACATGCCTGATATATAGTAACTAAAATACTCACAGCACCAGAAAAGAAATATAAAACTTGTTTGTTAACAGCATCTGTAGAGCTTACCTGATAGTTATTTAAACACGTTCACAAGAAAGAATAAGTGTTAAAATAAACAATGAATCGGTAATCTGTTATTGTGATATGATGCACATCCACAGAGAAAAGGAAGATTAGTTATATCTTGATCTTAAGTGTTTCTCTTTTATAGCCGCCTGGTGGTTCTTCTGAAGTCTAGTTTTCTCAGTGGCATCCACTTTGATACCAAAGGGGAGCAGGGAAGTAAAAGAGTGGATGAGGGGGTTTTAGGAAATCAAGTGACAACAAACCACTCATTGATTATTTGCAAGTGCAGGTCTACATCAGCATTCATACTTAGGACTGGAAGGTCAGCTCTGGTCTGCCCTTGGTGGGAGACTGACTAGTTCGTCATGTGGTTCTGATGCCATCTGTTGGTATTGCCAGCCACACAACAGTATGTATAGATGGGTCAGGAGTTGGTAAGGGGAAGAGCTGATCTATGAGATCAACATAGAAGTTGTCCAAACTGACAGCGAGCAGGCAAAGTCTTGAATAGAACATCTACATATAACCTGAGAAACAGGGTTCATATTCTTATTTCTCAATGTGGCATTTGTCTTTCATGTTGTTACCTTGTGAGCATGCAGCAGGCCCTTTCCCAGCTTTTAATGTATACCTATGAGATTGAGAATCAAAATTCAATGTAGAGCAATCATTGGTCAGTTGATAGAAAGCTTGTGTGAGGGTTGCATTGTTTGTTTACATAACCATTATGCAATAATTCTATTGTATTCTCTACACCATTTCATAATAAGGCTTGCTCTGACATTTAAATAAGCATTTAATACTTTTTCATACTCAAACATGAGAGTGGTGTAGTGGATAGTGGCTTAGAATGAGAAATCGGAGAGTTGAGTTTGAATTCTGATCAGGTTCCTTACATTCATTGATGTGCAAGTATCCTTGGGAAAGGTATGAATTGTCCTCCTCCTCCTCACAGATTATTGGTTAAATAGCAGGACTTGTATCTTAAAAAAAAA